CCATGTAATTCAGTGGTGTCCAGGGATTATTTTGCTGTAAGCCAAGAAATTTTGGTTTAGAAGCTAGAGGACCAAATGCAAATACACTGATCATAGCGCCCCTAACAGGTTGAGATGTCTCATTATTTTTCTCCTACGTACTTGTAAGTATTTTTACTACAACTTCTCTGTAGTCACTGTGGTTTGGGCTGCAGTATGAGTTTTTCCAATGGAAGAAAAAATATATTACTAACAAAAAATGGAAAAGATACAAGAGAAGAACTGTAGCAAAAATGCTAAAAGTAGCACAGAAATAGAGCAAGTGGTGAWGGAGAGTATAGAGAGAACTATGTTAACAAATGAACCGAAGAGATCTGTTAAGTAAGAAGGCTTTAGTTGGTTTAGGACACCAGAGTTCAGGCAGACAGGTTTAAATCTAAAGATGTAGGCGGAAGGAAAACAAAATAGAAGCACATGAGACAAGAAACCGGCACTGGCCAGGGAAGTTACAAAGGAGGATTTTACAAAAAGAGGGAGTGAAGACAGGAAGTTTCTATCTGCTGGCAGTGTAATTGGCAAGTGGAAGCAGGTGAGTAAATTAAATTACTGACAGGTGACAGGTGTTTGAGATGAGGCAGTACTATAGCCACTGAACACAGAAACATAAAAACCTAACTGCCTATCTGGAGGCTGCTGACTAAAACTGAAAGCAACCTTGAAGAAACAGGATAATAGAAAATTTTGGTACATAAACAAAACAAAAAAAATGCTGAAAAAAGGTCAATGTGCCGAAAAAATATTTAAATAAATGAAGCCAAATAATCATAACAGTTCAAAAATCTCTAACCTMTTACATGTGATTTCTATGGGGATTTTATTTGATTGTTTTTAATTAATGTAGTTTATTTTATAGTATATGAAGGAAAATGAAATAGAGAAACAAGAGTACCTTCAGTGCTTCTGCCTTAAAACCAAAGAGCTGTACTTAGACTAAAGTGTGACGTCTCTCCAATTTCTGGAGGAATGTTGTCATATTTGTGATCTGTGTTGCGGGCTGTTGGTGCAGTGTCTCACTGTTTTCAGCCTTTGACACATTGACAGCCCTGGAAGCATGAAGCTGCCACTGTTTAAGCTATACACACACTTGAGAGCATGATATTGAGTGACATGTGTAGCACCTTTTGTGCAGTTTTTTTTAGCCAGACTCCTAATCCACTGGTGTGTGTTGAAGCTGAGCAGCCGTGTCCCTCAGCTCCGTGTAAACTGTGAAGGGCAAAGGGAACACTTTATCCACAGTGACCTTCATCTGCTGGAGCACTCGGGAGTATCTGAAATGAATCACAACACAAAGCCCTTCACTTACACTCTGGGAATTGTAATATTGACCCAGCTCCACTTGACAATGCATAGCTTTCTGACTCTTTGATCTGGCAGCAACAGTTCAGTGTGTGTGTGTGTG